CCTGAAAAATTTAATGCTCTACATTCATCGATACTTTTCAACGATAACGCCGGTGAAAATTAAGAAAAGGTTGCAGTATCTCAAGTGAATCAAAATATTATGGCCAATGATGAGGTCCAGAGAGCTTCATGCAGAAGAGCCGGCACTATATCAACAACGACGGAGGACTCTTCCGCATCGCACACTCTTTCGGCTGGCCACTCGCCAGACTGCAATTACGAGCCCTCCAGGACATCTTCCGACGTTCTAAATGTTCTGAGGCACAGTACCTTGAGAGTAGAAAAGCATCCACCCGAAAACCCCTCCCAAGCGTCACTCCAGCCGCGAATTAGGGCCTATGAACGGCATGCGGCGCAGGTCTCGGCCTGTATCTCTATGCCACCTGTCCTGAATGGCCAGGACAGTAGGCCAGCTCCCACTTGTTCAACAATCACGAACACCTCGGCCTCTGTCGATCCCAGCCATCTTATTCGCACGCCTACCACGTCTCATACACCATTTCATTCACTCCACAATTCCCCTGTTTCTCCAGTTATCCCAGCAGCCAAATGCCCAGGCCGATACAGCGATAGCAACATCAACGGCTGCACCGCCTCAACAGCCATCCACATCATCTGACATACAAGGGGACAACTTAGCAGACTTAACCACCGACGCCATACTACTGCATTACTGCGACCTATGCCCACGCTCGTTTTTTAACAGCGGAGGATAGGTCAACAATTAGCTGATCACCGCCGCAAGGTAACGGGATCTTTGGCTGATATTATTGTCAAGTGGACGGAGTTCAAAAGCTCAGCATACAGCAAAACGTTCAAAAGCAAGCGTGGTTTGTCACAATACCGCCATCAAGCGCACACAGATGCTTACAACGTAGAAGATCTGGCGTGGCTATTCAATCACCAATGCAAATGGTCTGCGCTAGAGGACGAGGAACGTCTAGCCTGTGCTACAGATATGGCACACTCTGTCCCCGATGATCCACAGCTAAACAATCAGCTCCGCATCCCATTTCCATGTTGATGAAATGACCAGATTAAGGAACGATTTAATTATTTAAGCTGGTACATCACAGGAGCAATCAAACGCCTCAATAAGTGTTCAGATATTTCATTTACGCACGCCGCCTCACCATCCACCTTTCTCACTCAGTCGCCGAGTTCTCATTACTACCTGCTAACCGAGGAAGTCCACCCACCTCTCCAATTGAAACCCACAGGTCTGATTTCACCCCTTCAGTAGCCCGGTTCCCATCTGAGTGACTATGATGACGAATCCATAATCACGCTGAATGTCAGCACACACAACATGTCACCTTGATATAGGCCAGCGAAAGCCCGCCGCTCCATCGCCCAGTCTATCATTATCCTCCGCTTCAACATACGGTATCACCCCAGGGGTCGATTTGGATGAATCATACGCAGACAACAGCGCGAAGCCCGTTGCAGATATCTGGCACCTAGATACAGAGAACACAGGTGCCCAGACCGCCTTTCAAAGTCTTCTGGCGGAAACGAGAGGAACAATGGCCCAAAGCACATCACAAAATGAACACCGTGTAGCTGCCTTGTGAACAGTTGTTGAAGACCTGCAAACGGGGACACCGTTTAGTAACAACATGGAATCATCATCATACACGTTAGTTAGAGGTGGGGAATACCACAACTACTGTGCCGCAAGTGGAAAGTGTGTGCGTAACCCTATTCCATCACACATGGCGGTGCAGTAAACGTAGACAACCGGTAGTTACAATCTCTAACAGCGATAAGCGAAGGTGATTCTAATACGGCCACACACAACGCCTCATTTTCGAAGGAAATACAATACCGCAATCGCACCCGATGGTATTTGGAAGACTGCATCCATGCCGGATGAACAAAGGTGATCATGGGCTTCGACGACTTCTGATGTATGTATATATCAGCAACAGTCTAACGAATAGACACAGATCCAAAGAAAACGATGGAAATCACTACCAGAGGAGAGGTTTACTTACCATATCATCATCATGGCGCACTAGCTGAAGGTGAGCAAAACACTTCAGCAACTGTTCCACGATAAAGAAAAACGGAACATGTTCGGTTAGTTTACACACGCCATTTTATTCTCTTTTTTAGCTTTTTCACTTATCAATCATTAAGCATCTGATTCTAAAGAAGTATGTACGCAGTTCATGCACTGGTTTCGATTGCGCGCCATTTCCTTTATTGTTTCCAGCCATCAGCACTCCTCGTCCCTCGGGTCCCCAACCAGGCAGACGTGCGCATTCCACGGAAACAAGAGATGAAATCGACCATTTCATATGCTGTCGCCAGGTGGACGGCTGAACACCAGCCAAGTTCTGCAGGAGCGAAAAGGGCGCAGTGGGGTAAACACCCAGCTGACATACGCAGGCTCTGACCGACCCATCTTAACTGACACTGTAAGTCCAGCAGATTGAAGGAAATACTCGCGTTCCCTAAGACACAAGGTCTGACCCGATACCTGATAACCGCATACCACATGATTGTGCCAATACTAATTGTGATCTCGTGAAACTCAGGATTATTGAGAAAACGACTCTGCACTGCGAGCTATGAATGGATCTGCACCGGGGGTAGACGAAGTCGCACCGAACGGCATCAGTCGAATGGATCCGAAATTAATCACGTTTATTGTAAATGGCTGATTAGCCTGTTCCTCTTGTCATGCTCACATAAACGTGGCTTGTTTAAAGTTTGCTACAAAAATTCCTAACCCTCCTCGCACTGAAGACCTTTGCAGAATTTCCCTAACTTCGGTCTTCACTCGTCCTTGTCATCGAAGTTTATTTGTTCGCTAGATTCCTGCTTTTCAAACTGACCGTCTTCAAGGTGATTTTCTTCATAAAGATGACTGCTTTGAAGCCACCACAATATTACACTATACCCTAAAGTATTCACACTTGAACGGTAGCTCATTATCCACCGCTTCTCTTGACACTTCAGAAGCATTTGATTTTATCTCCCACACTTCGCTGCTTCGCGCAACCTCCTTTTTCAGCGACCCCTTTTTTCGTCTACATTACCTAACGTCTTAGTACGCCTCCGGAATGTCAATAGTCAACGGTCTGAGCATTCACCTAGGGCGTGGAGTCCGTCAGGGAGACCCACTTTCTCCCTTGATCTTCATCATTGCCCTTGAGGAAGCATTACACACCTCACCAGATACACAGTGGATTTTCCTAGCAGATTCAATCAATCACATCGCTTAGGTAGATATTGTCGTACTATGTGGTCACAACAGAGAAGCCCCGATCGAATGTCTAGGTCAATTTAGTGAGGATATACAACACCTTGGATTACCAATAAACCAAAGGAAATCGATAGTACTGGATATTACCGCCGACAGCAAAAGAAAAACGTTGCCTAATTTGAACAATGCGTAGCCCCCACGTGGCGCCCCCAAGATCCCATCAATCCAGCCACCCGAGGAATCTCAGCTACTTGGGTAAACGCACGCCGAATTCGCTAGACCAATTGAAAAAAAAGCTGCGGGGAACATCTCTAGCCCACTTCAAGCCAAACGAGCGCATGGAAATCTTGTGCACTTATTTGTCAACGTATTATGCTCATTGCCTCTGATTGACGGCGGTGCATCGACAGACCCTAAAATCGACGAAGAGGCTGGTCCGGGTAAGTATAAGATAAAAGTTACGACTCTCCAAGAACACTAGCGTCGGTTTCTTTTACGCACCAATTGAGTATCATGGCCTAGGGTTTCCGTGCTTTTTAGTGTGATCCCATTACTTCGGTAGAACCGCCTAGAACGCCATCTTTCACTCTACCACCCAGTTAGCAACTGAACAATACGGGAACCTTCAGTAGTCACCATCCAGCGCCTCGCCATGAAACCTGTGATCATTGGGATCACAGGTCGTCTTTGACAAATATGGCGCGAAGGGAGTATGGAACGACTCGCTACTACAATCTGTGGACGGATCCTTACCTCATCGGCGTCCAACAACTGGATAAGAAACCCAGAGAGAATTTCCCCCAGATACTACCTCAGAGGAACCCGACTTCGAGCAAGGGTGCTGCCGGTAAAATCTCCATGCTTCAGTGAAGTACCACCCCCAAACCCAAACTAAGTTCCCTGCTGGGGCGCTTGTGGACAAAACAAGACACTTTCCCACGTCTTGCAGTCCTGTGCAGTAATCCACGATGTTTACCGTAAGAGACACAACGAAATGGTGATGCAAGTAACCAACACTCATCGCCGCAAAGGATCCCAAATAATGCCGGAACCCCGCATCTTAGCGTTATCAACATACATCAAGCCGGATTTAATCGTCATCAGGAACTCAACGGCACATGTAATGGAATTGGCAATATGCGACACTTACCGAATGACCCGTATGTGTTAATGCGGAAGTCATAGCTCGCTTTGTGCGCTCGGAATTCCTATGGTATTGAATATCATGAACCATCCCATAATCAGTATCAAGCAGGGTCATATACACCAAGCCTTCAACAAGCATATTTCGGCACGGAAGCTTACCAAAACTGACATATCCGACTTGTGTACGCTTACCACGAGAGGATCCCCCCAGTGTACGACACCTAGACGCGGGGTGCAATGTCACAAAGCATCTCATACTAAGGTAGAGTCACACGTTCGTGAACGATTACGAACAATTTTCTGCGTTTTATTTGATTACTGTATCAATATTATGTCAGGACATTTGTCCAATCTCGGCGAATTTATGTATTGCCCTGGCCCTGGGCCATGCATGATTTTGTGCGAAAATTTTCACAGACCGCGATTCCCATTGAAGTGAACCTTAGTCATTCTATCAATAAGACCGTAGCTGAAAATGGGTGTTGTCCGACCGCAGAAGTCGTGAAGATGGAGGCTCACACACAAAACAACTAGACTAGTCTTTGAAATTCGTTAGTCTATAAACTACATTCAGTGGTCATGATGAGTGTAAATCCGATAGGGTGAAATGGATCAGACTAATAGAAGGTGCCTAAACCTACCAACGGGAGATGGATGTGGGTCCAACTGCTCATGGTTTTCAGGTTGAGATTCGCTGGTGGAACATGGCACCGGAACGGTAGTATCCTGAGTGCTCTCAAGAACTGATGGGACTGTATCAGTCGGAATTGGTTCAGATTGCGTTGTTGGTTGAGCGAGGGCTTCGGCAGATCCAGTGGTTGTTTCTGTCTGGGAACAAGTTGATTTCTCGGCCTCTAGTAAGCGCTCTTTGAAGGATTCTTGTCTGAGCTTAGAAAGTTCTTGATAAACATCGCAGCGGCTGATCAGGATCAAATCCATCAATTCGTGACCAAAAAGCATCCGAGATAAAGTAATCCAGCGACGATAGCTGGCAGGTAATGCATAGCCCGCATATGTCGCTAACTGCGATGTGGTTGGCCCAGAACCGGAGCCAGTGGACCGGTTCCCGTTACCAGAGGGCTCTACTTGGGAAAATATTGCACTCGCTAGAGCCGAGTTGACAGAAGAAGGTTGATCCTCAGCCAGGCTCGCTAGCATGCTCCAAACCAGTGCATCTGCCTCTGGTCCAGCTCGGTTGTCTCTGGGTAAATCCCCTCCGGAGCAAGTACCAGTACGTATGCCAGGGGAAGGATTGTTGCCAGATTCGATGCCAGGAGAATAAGGACGATATCCGACGGAATCTGTAGTGAACGGAGCGTACAGACGTGTAGGAGGACCGCGCTGACGGACCCCACTGTTACCAACAAGGACGGGGCCAATAAATGAGCTAGTCACTCTGTTCCGTTGACCTTGGTACGTTGAAGTGGTTGATGATACTGGAGGCATCGGGGGGAGCGCAGAGTTTAGACGAGAAAAAGGAGTTGATGCGTTTGCAACGACCATGCGACTCAGTCGAACACCACCGGCAGATACGGAAGGAGCAGCATTACCGACGGTTGATGAGTTAGAAGGAACCTGTTACAAAACAATTAACACACCATCAGCATGAAGTAGCGTATCAATCGGAGGAAGGTTAAGCTATCAAGTCAGCTAGTATACAATGTTAACGAAGAGGATTGTGAAAGCAAAAGGTAATTCAACATAAAAAGCAAACTGATAGCAATGAAAGCAATGCCTGAACATATGAAATAAAAGCTAACGTCCGAGTAAATGATTGCACCAACCTGCAGCAAAGGGTGTTGGCTGGATAGCATGGGGGTCGCCAGTGTTTGTGAGGAGCCGAAATTGCCCAGACCACTACTGGAGGTGACTAGATTGACACCACCGAAGCGATTGTTGTTACCATCAGTGACGAAAACGGAAGCACCGCTGCCATTCCCAAGTCCAAAACGGAACACGGTAGTGTTCGGAGGAAGCCCGATTCCATTCGAGGAGGCATTTCGAATTTGGCTATCTGAACCACGAAAGCGAGGCATAATCAGCCCCCAGTTGCCTCCAGCGCCAGTGGAAGGAATTAGATTTATGCCACCAAATTCTGAGGGAGCAATAACAAAACGTTCACGTCGACCACCCGCTAACCTAGATCCCACGGTTGAAGCACCCTGGGTGGGGACATCCACCATATTTAACACTTCTTCTACCATAGCGACCACAGGGTGGTTGTCACGCAACGCGTGCTCGTCTGTGGTCAAAAACATAGTGGCGCTGTTTGTATCTTCACCAAGCATTTGTAACCCACCACCATCATCGTCATTGTTCTCAAACACATCGAGCTCTTCGTTATCGAAGCTGCCATCGCCGTCATCATGCGAATCATGAATGTTTTCACTGGCTCGTTGGTAACCAGCACGGGAGCTCTCACCAGCATTGCCAGCGGGCTCGTGTTCGTCAGACGTACGAACGGTAGTAACAGATACCGAGACAGTTGCTTCCGGCCTTGGTCTCCTATTGTTGTGAAGACGTCTACCAGATGAGCCACTTCTAAGGACCAAGGCAACCTCGCCATCATCGGCGATAATCTCTTCGTCTGTCTCACCTCCGACGTCATCATCCTCCTCATCTTCATCCTCGAGGTCATCATCCTCACCGTCTTCATCATCATCATCGGCCTCACCATCGTCTTCGTCATCTTCTCCCTCATCCTCATCGTCATCATCCTCATCCTGACTGTTACCGCCTTCACCTCCTTGACCGGCGCTGCCTTCATCCTCATCATCATGCACGAAAATCATTGATCCTTCTTGGTCGTCAGCCGAATGCCACGGCTGCGTGACGTCCCTGTTCTCGGTATGAGGCTGCTCCAAGACGATATCAGCTCCGGACATCAAGACATCGTCTAAGACGAGATTCAAAGAGGCGTTACCCGCGGTTGGTTCACTCAGATTCGCAATTCCATCATCTGCTACTGCTCTGGAGCTACGCAAAGGAAAGTCATCATGATTGTCGTCATCGTCGTCATCATCACTGTCCGAATCAAAGTGACGAGCATCCATAGATCGATAAGAGCTGCTGTCTCGATCAGCAGGCGGCAAGTACCCTGAAGACCGTGACTGTGCACTAGCATCACCATGGCCGGCTGAGTCAATGTAAGAAAAGTTCGACTCGGCGTGTCCACGTGGTGAACGAGTCTGCTCGATATGTTGCGCAGAATGGACTCCAGAAGTAGCATCGGATCGTCTGTCTCGACCGCTCCACACCGACCTGGTTAGTTGACGGTCGACCCAAGTAAGGCTCTCGAGGGTGCGCAGAAGAATCGAAAAAGTAGATTGAGTATTGGGCAAGTTACAATCAGTGACTGCAATAAGTTTGGCGATATCTCCGGGGAGATGACGTCGGTAAATCAAACGAGTGACCCGGTCAACGAAAACAGGAGGAAGGGCCAGCAAGCGCTCCAAAAACATCATATGTGCAATCAGGCGATCGTTTTTCCGAAGCTGCATTGCATCTGGTTGCTGAGATGCAGATGTCCTCTGAACTGATGAGGCATTAGTCGCTGAAGAAGAAATGCGGCTCAGAGAGGCCTTAAGCTCACCTATGACGGCATCCTGAGTGGAATCAGAACCAACCAACATGAGGTTTTCCAACAGAGTAGTTGCAAGTTCCGTTGTATCGCTTTGACCCAATTCGTAGGTAAACAAATGGGACAGAAATGAAGGGGGAGAAAGGTGTCCGTGATCAATAGACGCTGAATGGACCTTACGGCCATAAAACGCAATGAACTCTGCGACGGCTTGATAGGAGGCAACCAAATCGATTAAAAAGCGAATGGAATCGGCTTTACCGAGTACAACACTTTCGCGGGAGGTGGAAGTGTCACTAAAGGATGGTGTGGCGATAGTTGGGTTAGAAGATAAGTTCTGTGGGTCGCTTGCAAGCCTCTGGCGGTAGTCCCCTGTTGAAGTCTCAGCGCTTGGAGTTGATGGGATTGGGGTGTTGAGCGCAGAAGTGCATTGTGTTACGCAGGTACGAATGCCAGTGTTCGAAGGAATTTCGTTGCTCTTGAACAAAAAGGGGAAGTGAAAGAGTTAAGGTAACATTAAGCGACGCGTCTTGACGGTGAGGAAAGGAATAAGTCGATTAAAACACTAGCGCAATGTGGGTCACTTTTTACCGTTACAAATGGCAGTGAATCACCACCCAGCAGAAAAGCTACATGAAATATTTTCATTACACATGCGACCATGAACACGCGCAATTAATCCTTAGAAAAGTGCAAGACAACAGTTACCTCATTAGGTGCTTTGGGGCCAACCGATAGATGGCTCGCTTCTTTCCCAACGGGTGGCGAGGAGATGGATTCGATCAAAATCGTGAGTAGACGTTGTTGATGTTCGGACAACATGAACTTTGTGCGGTCATTGGCGGGTGATTTAGGCACCTCCACAAGGTAGCTCTTTGGAACTGTTTTTGCTAGTGAGAGAAAAAGAGAAGTTGTCAATCCATTCTAGATGGCCGGCAGGTAAACCCGGTGGGGATAGAAATTGGCGCATAAACAATGAAGATCGGTTTGAGAGAGACAAAAACAATGGGTCATCAGAATGCCACATACCGAGTATATCAGCGTCTGTCAGTGAAAGCCTGATAGTTTCCAGAGCCAACTTGTGGGCCAACGCACGATCTTTGGCGAACATGGGAACGCACATGCCAAGTAGATAGAACAAATCGCGACAAGTGGTGGAAGTAGCACCGATTCCCATGAAAGTGCTGGGCACGCCGAACTGACACATTTTAGTGAATACATCCTTCATAACATGTGACACTGTCTGAACATCGTCGAAAACCTGAAGGGGAGAGAGGATGGGGGGCAAACGGGTGAGTAATAGTGGGGCGGTTGTGTCGAAGAATGAGACGAAGTGCACACTTATGCTACCGGTGTCAATCAGTGAGCTAGTGGTTAAGGCGTCTGCTTTACAGCTCGAGAGTCACCGGATCGAAAATGCGTGACTGGTGGTGGTCACATGACTGTGAGGTGTCGGCGCGGTGTACCGGTGTACGGCTGATACAATAGTCACTGGCAATCGATCGTCACGGAAAGCGAGTTAGCGGCGCGAAGCCTTCGGTCAGAAGTACAATTGGTACACTTCTTCGAGTGGAGGCTGAAACCCGATCCTCGTTTTCGAGTATTTCTGCAAAACTTTCTTCGTCGCGAAATCAGATTTAAATGATTGCCAAATTACCTGATTTGACTGAGTGATGCATGATCTTTTGTTTATCAACGTCATGATCAAGTCTAGTCCTTCCGGTAAGGCAAAAGTGGGTGAAAGTTTGTGTCAAGGGCAATCACATGTGTGAATCAATCTTTAGGCGATTAAATAACAAGTGTCTAGTTCAATGAGGCGCAGCTCAGTGGATGAGCGGCGGGACTTCAATGCAATGGGGTTCTAAATAATTATTTGGCAAGGACGGAATAGCTTACGAAGTGTCTAAATGGCGGTTTCACAAAACAGCAGGTTAAAAAGAAAAGGCATAAGCAGTACGCCGGTACGCAGTACCGACGCTTCGTTGTCGCGCAACCACCTCCGGTCGCATGTGGGCTAAGGATACTGTGAGTGTCGCCATGCCCCTACACAGGCTCGAACCCGCGCCGTCAGATTACTAGATAAGCTAGTTACATTTAGGCTACGGGTCGGCTCACTACGTCCAGGTCCAGCAAGTAAGAACAAACATCACACAGGGTTAAAAAGCTGAGGAGGTGAAAGGTTATGCCAGGCAGGTGATCACGAACTGATTATAATCACAAGACCTCTGAACAGTCGTAGGAAAAGTAGACAGTCATCAAACGCTGCATCCGGCTTAACAGAGTGGCCTGCACTACACTAATCATGGCATGACTTTTGGTGGAGACTACCACCGTTTCCACAAAACAGCGGTGTGCAAGCTGGTATGGGATCAGCGTGAGAGCAATGTGGCATATGTCCCCGGTAAGACAGGAATTGCCCAATCAAAAACGCCAACTAACTGTTTAACAGCAGATTGCTATTAGTCTAGTATTGTCGAAACGAAGTAAACAACAGGTGACAGTCTTGTTTCTTAGACAAATTATCGTCAAAACATTGTCCTAAACCACTGTAATGTTCGAAAGCAATCAAATTACAGGTAGCTAAGGTTAGCAGTTAATGTGTTGAGTTGTGCTCTGAGCTATGCAACTGGATTGCAGACGTTAAAACATAAAGAGAGATGGAATCTTCGTTGAGCGACAGTAAAAAAGCTTAGTAGCTAAAACAGAGTCCTTGGTAAATCCATACATAGATGAGGTGTGCCAATGAACCACACACCCATATGGATGGTGAAAGGTTAGTCCATACTATAGTGAAGCGTAATTAACTTGGATCCGCGAGTGAAACTGTGTGCAGGGTTGGACGAAATAATAATGTTAATAATAAAAACAATAAAAGATTAACAGAATCATCATACAAACCATTCAAGCAGTGGTGGTTTTTACACTACCATTTGAGCTGAATGATTGCAGACATTTCGTTGTCAGACTTGGTAACATCATCACAACGGCTTCAAGGACCAGTTTCGTAGAGCATCGCAAGGTATAAGTGATTATTGATCGACTTCTGCTTCAAGTTGAAAGATAAACTTAACAAAGGGAGAACACCAAGTGTAATCTGCAAGATCTGCTGTCGAAATTGTGGAAAATACTATCTAGGACTAAAAGGAAGAAAGCTTGGCACACGACTAAACAAGCATAGCTTAGCCATTGGCTGTCACAATCAGAACTCATTAGTGTCCGTTTTATGTATGTCAAAAGCCACCAAATAGACTTAGAGAGCACGTCGAAATCCTCGGAACAGCCACAAGCCGGAAAGCATGTGAGTCTATTGAAAGCGTTGACGAGGCTCTGCTAAACAAGCACTTGAAGCCGCATTAATAATACCAGTTAGTGTGGCAACGGAACGTTTGCCAAGTAATCATTTAGCTTGCAGAGCAATACAAAACCCACATCCACACCCCGGGATACGGATATTCACATTTCAACCAACCTGGGTCAGTAAAGCTCCAACGAACGCGGAGTACTCAGCGGTGAACCCACGGGTATGCGGAACGTTAAGTAGAATACTCAAAATACCCTTGTCCAGCATGTCCCGTGAGTTGTCGTAACTGGAGTAGGCCAGTCGAAGTAGCAATCTGAGCATAGCATTCGCACAGTCAGATGGAATGGAAGCTTGGGGTTTCATTTCAAATGATGATTTGAAAAGATCCAGCAAAGCGGAAGACAAGGTTTTCTGTTGGTCAGGAGTCAAATCAGGAGGAATTTCTCCATCACAAACACCCTTTTCGTAGGCAGAGATTGCGTTATTCTCTGTGGAGATGAACGGTAAAAAAAATTAAATGGTGGTGCGCTTGCACATGAAGAGTGCCTATGCGAAGAAGTTAAAGGAAGTTCATGTGTACTGAAAATATGGGGAATTGAAGATTACCTTTCTCTTGGGAGCCATTCGCGTCATCCGACATTGTTGGGAATAACATAACCGGACGACGATGCATGCTGTCTAAATTGACTTGCGTCATTGTGGGGAATTCAATGGCATAAGGCTTCCGGCTGATGTGACAGAAAGCACACGTATCGCCCCGGTGAAACGCCGTGTCAATGATGCGTCCGCTCTCTGTTGTGTACGGATGCCAAAGCATTGCACGATCATCGAACCAATTCCATGAGTGAGAGTGTGCGTACCGTTTGGCGCTGTGCTGGCGCAGCTGCATGGCCTTTGACAGGATAAAAATTGAACACCGAAAGAGTTAAAATGCGAATTGAGGAGACCAAGGAGTATTGGACGGTATAAGACTCCGTCGAAACCGAAATATCGGACGACAAAGGTGAACCAAACAGATGAACGATGATGTCAATCACACAGAGAGGAGAAAGAAAACATCTAAGATGCTGAGACGTCATCATCATCAGAGAGAATGGTCAGTTTATCCGGAGCAAGTCGAAAAAACTAGCAGAAATATAAGGTTGTGTGCAATCCAGAGTCGATCAGCAACCCTTATGACAAACCAAATACAAAATCAGGAAAAAATAGGAATCATTGCGAGAAAGTCCGTCCTTTAAAACTATACCGTTTTTTATATAGATATTTCAGGCAATTCGTCTGCGAAGTATGGTGAAATGAGAATCCTCGAATGGATACAACATACTATCTGTTAACTAGCGATGGCACTGGTACTTTTTTCTTGATTTTACACCATCTTGCAAGTAACAAGAAAATAAAACAGAATACCGGCACCAGTGTCTGCGGAAATAAGCGACCAAACGAATTATTTGTCGATTGCAGAACAAATGACCCATAAAGAAATATTCATTGTCTAGAGTTAGTCAACCATCAACAGTAGTGCATCAGTAATTCGCATCGGTGCTTCCCTATCATATGACTACAGATGACTTGCCAAAAAGGAGCGGAGTATAGGGACCTGAGGAAAAAACTTAATTGCTCTAAGCAAACATTTAGAGTCAACGCGCATACACATTATCCACAAGGCGCCGGCACAAGCAATTATCACGCAAAAAAACTGCGAGACAGTGCCTTAGTGGCAATCACTCCATAGATGACATCAGTATCAGACAATGCAAAAAGACTAGTTCACTATGAAAACACTGCAAACACATTGTTGGTGCCCATGGGAAGTCACGTCCTGTGAGAAGGCAAGCGGACCTCAACCTGTAAAGAAGGATGCGCCAACAGCGCTCAAGCCGATGAAGACCATTTACCACTGACAAGTCAAGGTTGATAACCTAACGCCGACATAAATTCGGAAAATAGAACAAGGCGTTTTATGGTAGGCGGTAAACGCGCATACGTAGTGCCTAAACGGATTTAAACAAAAACACCCGTCGAACGTTTCCACCGTCATCTCAAAACAGCTTTGATGGCATGTTCCGACACTACCCGTTGGACAGAAACCTTACCGCTGGTTTTATTAGGTCTTCGAACGACACCTAAAGCTGATTTAGGTTGCTCCACCGCGGAGCTGGTATATGGTACCACGTTAAAGCTCCCGGCTGATCTCGTTCAACCGACCGACCGACATCGACGCTATAAATCCCTCAAACTTTGTCTATCGGCTACGTTTATCTATGCGTGAACTGCACTTTATCCACACACTCGCACACACCAACAAGTGTTACATACCTAAAGATCTCGAAAGTTATTCACACGTGTGGGTACGAAATGATGCAGTCCGCAAGCCATTACAACCACCCTACGGAGGACCATTCGAAGTGACCGCTAGAACCGAAAAAGGTCATATGATCAATAAGAATGGTAAAATCGATGCGGTTTCCGTAGATCGTCTTAAACCAGCGTACATCGAAAAACCCTGTAAACAACAATCTACTGATTCTCACACGACACAGTGTACGCAGCAGACACCACAGCTCGTTGAAGGTGACCCGCAGCTTGTAACATCTAAAGCTAAGCCACAAGGAAACATTAATACGCGGCAGACACGGTCAGGAAGGCGAGTCCATTTTCCAGACCTCTTAGTGTATCACACATCTTGACAATATCATCTTGTTCTGCTGATCACTTGTTAGTACCGCTTGTTGCCAGTCTCCTCCTGTTTATTGTTCTCCAGATTCCGCCAGGATGCAACTGAACATCTCGCACGAGGAAGAAGCGGATCATCCAGTCTAGATAAATCCAACTTCCGTGCATTTACCATCCTGCACTGCTCCCAAATCTCTTATTGGATCTTACACATTGAATATTAGCCTGCATGCCTCCCATACCTCAGCCTCGGGTATTTCATGAGACACTGTACCAGGTAGAGGTCAGTTCTTACCGGCTATTCCCACCGGGATTTTTACTCCTGGTCGTTTGAACATCGTGCGACTAGCGCACTGGTGGGGAGGTATGTAGTGTACCTTTTATATTTTACTACACAACCTTCCGGTCAGCTGATAACATCACCAACTGTATCGATTATTCTTTCAAACACCCCATCCACTTCAACATCGACCAACATTCCTTTTGAATCGCCGGCTGACTCTAGACCACCTCGTGTACAACATCTGGGAGCCCCAAAATACAATCATGGGAATACACGTTTTCAATCCCTTTTGGCATCCAAGAATGACGGGTTATTAATCCAGGAACTCCGCAACCTAAAAAGCGTTACCACCATACGTGCTGACCTAAAGACGATAAGTGGATACGATAAGACGACCTCCACACTGAGAATTGTAATTCGCCATTGGGATCGTGCGATGCCTCGTTCTACACTGATTACTGGTTGGAAGCAGCAAGTAGAGTTTACTCTGTGTAGCTGCGTCTAACAGCACAGGGACAAAGACCCGTCATGCTTTGGTGCGCTCAATATATTTTGCGTCGGCAAAGCGTTTGTCCAGGAATTTCTTAAATTCCGACGCCGACTTTGCCTCAACTACGTGCTGCGGCAGATCATCCCATGCATTCACCACTCTGCGTTAGAAACAGAGTTGGTGAGCCACCCGCTTCACATCCGGTACGACAAGCTTGTGCCGGTCTCCTCGTGTGCTGCTTGGTGTGTGCAGATGAAGCAGCAGCCTCAACATGGGGTTATCTCACAGACGTAATATCCAGTGCGTCATAATGAGGCCAACCCGCAGTTGGCGATAAGCTAGGGTGTACAGCCCCAGTTTCTAACACCGGTCTTCCTGCGGCACACCTCGTAAGTTGGGAATCAGCCAGGAGGCTACCTGCTACACTCGCTCAATCTTTTCTAACTCGTCCCGAATGATAGGACAATACGCGGAATAGCCATACTCTAGCATTGGTCGGATAAGCGAGACGAAGAGGCGAGTTGCAATCGCTTCATACCAAGTGCTGAAGCTGCGCCTGAGCATCCAAAGCATGCGAAGGCTGTATTGGTAAAGCCTATTCGTGTTGTCCATGGATTTTAGGTCGTAACGCGATGGCACACCGAAGTTTCGCACGAAAGGCGCGGGATGCAACAGTTGACCAGCCACCGTGTAGGTTCGACTGTGCTCACACTTACCCAGCCTCATGAATTGCGACTTGACCGGGTTGATCGGAAGGTTGACCTCTGCAGACCACGTGGAGAGGCGATTGAGGTCTTGCTGAAGCAGGTCACATCCGTTGGGTGTGCGTATTACTCCCCACATCTTCAAGTTATCTGCGAACAACGCACAAGGTGATTGAAGTAGCTGAGGCACATCGTTTACATGGATCAGAAACAAGATCGGTCCCAGTACAGTACCTTCGGGCAAGCCACTGCTCGATGGATACCAGCTGGTTAAATGGTTGTCCACCTGGACCCTCTACTTTCGATCAACAAGAAAACTCTTGATTCATCGATGTAGCGAGACGGCAACACCGCACACCCTCAGCCGGTTGAGGAGCACTGCATGATTTACTTTGTCAAAAGCCTTACTGAAATCCATGTAAATGATGTCGACCGACTTGCCTTGGTTCAGCGCTTGCAACGATTCGTGCCTCGTCAACAATAGGTTGGTGATGCACGAGCGACTTTACACGAAACCATGCTGTGCGGGCGTCAAGAGTCTTTTCGACTCGAGAAGCTGCATAAGACTCTTCTTCACGATCTTCTCGAACGTCTTTGCCAAAACAGCGGTCAGACAGATCGGTCGGTAGTTATCCACTTTGCTTGGGTTACCACCTTTCGGTATTGGCTTACCGACTGAGCATTTCCAGTCGCCCGATAATAGTCCAGTGGATAGTGACCCGTTGAACAGCTCAGTTACAGAAGGCGAGATGATGGCCGATAGGGACTTGAGAACCAGTGGGTGGATTCCATCTGGCCCGGCAGGCTTCGCTCCACAAGACTTGTCAGAAGCTTGCGTTCGTATTCAATGTTGCAGTCCAGGCTGTCTAGTTCAGCGGGAGTGGTACTCGTCGAACTTGTTACATACACCTGGTCAGTCGCAAAATACGGAGGCGAAGTGCGAGGCCAATGCAGACGCACGATCTGTGCTAGAGGTTAGGGGCTGTCCATCTGAGCCTTCCTACACTGGCACATTGCCTGCATGCCTCAGGCACCACTTCACGTAGGCGAAGATCCGCTTGGGAGCAGTTTTTGCGGCAGTTGCAAGCTGCCCTTAGAAGCTTCTGCACTTTCTGTTTTCGCGTTGTTACAGAGATTTCGCTGTACCTTGTGTGCCCTCATCAGAAGCCAGTTTGCTGTACTCCTTGTTCAACCAATGTGGTTTGACTGGCCCAACTTTCCGATACTTGAGGGGTACAAATTAAGTGAAGAACGAGTTCACTCCCACTTTAATGATAGTCCAACAGGTTTCAATAGACGAATCCTGTGGTAAAGACCAGTTCAACTGGCTCGGTGCTTGAGTGAGGCCATTAAAGTCCGCGTTCCAATAGTTGAAGGTTGGCTCCAGCGGGGGAGAATGCGGCAGCGGCAGTTCCAAGCTGGCTATGATCATCGAGTAGTCACTCGTTCCCAGGGGCTAAAAGACTTGAATGTCATGCACACGTTGCTCACAACTGAACAAAAGCAGGTCTAAGCACGATGGAGTCGCGCGAGCGGTTATGTGAGTCGGTTGCTTGATGTGCTGTGTGCCCCCGGTTTCAAATATCAACTCCGTAAACTTCCTCTCGACTTCACAATGGGGGAGAAGTTAAGTCTAAGGCCGCTGCATCCGGGGTAAGTTGAAATCGCCCATGAGTAAAAATATCTGAGGACTCATGTGGTTGTGGACATGCGGTAACCATTCCAAGCAGCGGCTCAGTGGA